TATGTTGAATGTTTGTCCGTGATTTGTGCATATCGAGATCCTCGTGGGTTCCAACAGAACGTTGATGCGTCTGTGGAAACTCGAGGGCTTGACTCCTCGAAGTCTACATTAATGAAGCGCAACTCGATAAATACTAACTCCTAATTTGGTAAACTAATTTACCAATTTGAAAAATTTTCTAGCTTAAGGTTCACGACTTAGGAATTTTTTTTTTAGATAATGCAACTCTTGACTAGGACATTTTAAAAATCTAAGAAAAAGATTTTTGTTTTTTGAAGCTAAAAATTTGAGGCTTAGGTTTACTTTCAACAATTCTAAATATTAGCTTGGGACACTTAAAATGGCTCGGGACATTTTAAATACATGGTTCGGGTACTTTTAAAATAGTTCAGGCTCGGTCCAGGTGCGGCTGGCTGCTAGCGCGAGATCTGGTCGCGGCTGGCACCAGTTGCGCGGGCACTGGCGCCGCTGGTTGCCCACGGGCGCTCCCCTGCTCGTGGGTCCCAGCGTTGCCCTGGTGCTGCGGTACAGTGATGAAAATGTGGCTAGGAGAATGAAGAACGCGTCGAGCTGGGCTTATCATGCGCGCAAAAGATTGGCCCGACGAGTCGTCAAGGCTAGATCGATGGATGTATGCAGAGGCGTGCGGGACGATGCGCGTGGCGATGACGCACATAGGCATACCGCGAGTGAGGCGGGGGCGTGGGGGCACGCGAGCACGTAAGGACACGCGCGCAAAGATGGGTACCTATTGGAGCAGCGCGACAAGGTCGGGCATGCAAAAGAAGCGCGTGCAGACTCGGCAAGGTGACTATGGTTACCTAACGACCAAGTTGTGCATTTCTTCTAGAAGTTCCAAGGCTTAGTTTCCCACATGCTTTATTATTATCCATAGATTGTTTAGGAGTACATTAGTTTGGATATTTTTAGAATTCTTGTTATCTATTTTCCTTAGGATTAGAAGCTTATTTCTCTTATGACTAGATTAAGTTGTTATCTTTAAATACTAATGTTATTAGGACGTTTTCAATCATCAAATTATCAATAAAATTTAGAACTCTGTTCATTTTCTTGTGTTAGAATTATTTTCGAGTTTTACTGCAAAATCTTTGTACCGAAAGGGGCGTTCCACCGCATAGTTCGACATAAGTCCGATTTCGGCAATGATATTTCATCTGAGATGTCTCAAAATCGTGAGAAGATAAGGAGAAATCCAAGTCGTCCACAATCTATCACCGAGAAGGAAGCCATCCAAGCGACCTTCGACGCAAATCAAGTTATCGAGACATGCGATCTTCATCATACGATCTCGGCGCATGCATGCAGATGGGTTGCTGGCTGTTGGACTGCATCGAGCGATCTGGAAGCTGCTGGAGGGCGTCCGCGCGAATCATCGCGGCACGCCGTGCGTTGCACGCCTGCCCGCGAGCGCGCGCGCCAGAGCCTAGTAGCGACCGCTGCTGCTGCGGCACATGCGACGTTTGTTTCCCGACAGAATTTCGACTTGCACACGATAACTCATGACCAAACAAAATCATATTTTTGGGCTAAAAAAAGAAATTTTTGGCTAAAAACTTTAAGGCCCAACAAATAAATTTTTTCCAAAAACAAAGTAAAGAAATTCTGAAATAATTTCAAACACTTTGTTAATCTCTTCCAATGCAATTTTAGGCCATCGAAATGCCAAAATTCAAAGGCTAACATGCTAAAATTTTCGAACAAAGGCACATAATTGCACATAAAAATACTCTCACGACAGACTGCATATTGATAGACACATTGCACATTATTATTCGATAGATTGCACCTTAGCGCAACAGTGCTTCTATGCAATGACTAAAATACCTCTGCGTGAAAAATAAAAAATCCACTTATTTACAGAAATGTCATCGCGTGTTTGACTAAAGCTGGATCATTTGACCGTGTATAGAACATTGATATATCACATCAAAGGTCAACGATTAATTCTTACCTCTTTCACGATCCATACCTCAATATCTATATCTATATATATATATATATAATTGCTAGCATATGAGCATTAAATTAAACCTATTAAATTATACTTATGTGGCAATATAACTTTTCCCTCCAAAAATCGTTACTTTATATTTATTTAACCTCTCATTTAATTATTAAGATAATCAGCAAAATACGAAAATAATTTTAAACTTTGATTTAATTACAGCTGACCATATAATGTGTTGACTATTTAACGTGATTAGATGTTATTGTTGTGGTTACAATTAAATTAACTTCTTTTGAAAAATAAAAAACATATTTGAGATTCCTAAATAAATAATAAATAATTCATAAAAAAATACATACAAAATATACATTACATCGAATATGATAAACGCAATTTAAAAAAATAAATATTCCAGCTCTTTTAAATGTAAATTGGCTGACGAAAAGTGCAAGAAAAATTATTAATCACTATATACATATAAATAACTTATAATACTTTATTTACATCTGTGTAAATGCACAATTAGAATACTAGTATTTATATACATGAAAGATTAACTAATAAATTAAAAAAAAAAATGAATTTGTTATGAAATACGGGGAATATAAAGAACACAATGTATAAAAACCGGATAGAGATTATAACTGACTTCCTTTCTTTCTTCTTCTTCGTTTTTCACATACAAACACTACAAGGATTTGGTCCTTTTATAGCCAAAATATAGGCACACATTTCCATACATAATAATAAAAAATGTAGAAGATAAGGTGTAGTGATAATTCCACTACTTTTACATAACACTCCCCCTTGGAATTACCACTATTAAATGTGCGTTTATGCTGCCTCGTTAAAAACCTTATCTGGAAAAACCCTGTGGGAAAAAAAACCGAGATAAGGAAAAAAGAGTACAGCCGCACGTACTCCCCCTCGAGTTATCATCCGTGCAAATCTCGAAGATGTCTCATTCCAATATTGTGCACGTGCTTTCGGAATATTGTCGTCGGGAGCGCCTTCGTAAACAAATCAGCTGCATTATCGCTTGATCGAATGTATTGAACTTTGATTTGTTTGTTTCTTTCAAGCTCTTGCGCATATGAAAAGAACTTTGGCGGGATATGTTTAGTTCTGTCACTCTTAATGTATCCTTCTTTTGTTTGAGCGACACATGCTGCATTGTCTTCGTATATCACCGTCGGGTCATTATTGTTCGATAGTCCACTGGCTTGTTGAATATGTTGAGTCATGTTTCTGAGCCAGATACTTTCCCTACTTGCTTCATGAAGTGCAATTATCTTAGCATGGTTTGAAGACGTCGCAACTAACGTTTGTTTCTGAGAACGCCAAGAAAATGCAGTTCCGCCAATCGTAAAAACGTATCCAGTTTGAGATCTTGCTTTATGGGGATCTGAGAGATATCCTGCATCTGCAAAACCGATTATTTCATGT